TTGCTCAGATGGACAGTTGTTGAGATAATTATATGTGAAATAACAGGAAGTGATGTCAAAGGGGAATGTCTGCATGTGCATATTTAAAAAAATAATTTTTACCAATTATTTTAATATTTGAAATGAATTAAAATCATCCCATGTACAATGTGTTAACATTTTTAAGACTTCTGAAAGGTTGATTTAAGACATTTTAAGGCTAATTAAGGCCTTATATTTGGATTGATGAATTCAATGCCTTTTAAGACTTTTTAAGGATCTGCAGGAACCCTGTAAAAGAAAACTATTGAAGCTTGGGTGTTCTCTCTCTGCTCTCTGAGAGGAGATTTGAGAGAAAACAATTAGACCTTTAGTGGCGTGTCACACTGGGCAAAAAAAAGTGTTCTTATGTATAATTTGTACTTGTTGCCAAAAAGCGTTGGGGAAATTTGTAAAAGACTTGGAAGATTTTAGACAACTCAAAAGTTAGTCGAACATTTTATGCAACAGGCTCTAAAAATTGTGAAACTTACACTACATTTGTGTAAAAAAATCTGTAAAAGAAAGTACTAGGTCACTCTAATTTTCTGTGACCAGTTTGAACTTTTAATATTTTTACTGTGGCTTTTGCAGTAATAGATGGTCTTTAAAATGACTGAATAAGTCTTAATTTTTAGCCTGTTTTTCATTGTTGTTGCTCCTGACAGGTAGTGTGTCTTACACTGCAAATGTGTTTTGTGTGTGTGTGTGTGTGTGAGAATGTATATATAAATAAAATAAATATGGATAATTGTCATTCAGCGGTTGTTATTTACTTGAAAAGGTTCCTTTAACAACATCTTTGTTTTTCCTGCTCTGGTTAAAGGTGAACAAGCATTTTTTAACTCATACAATACAAGTATGATGGCAAAAGTAAAAACTTCAGATATTTTTCTACTAATAGTCTCTTTAATACCAAATGTTTTCATAAAGTAGGTTAAAAAAGTAAAGTTAAAGCTACAGAAACAATATGCAGATCCATAGGATCAGAATTAACATCAGTACAAACATTCAGAAAAGTTTAGTCCTGCTGACTCAACGCACGTTGCTTCCAGTCATTTGTAGTTTTCGGAGTTTGTTGAACAGCTCTAAGTACTGAGTCATGGTGTCGACGCAGTCCGCTGGTGCAAAAACACCCTCGGGTTTGGCTGCGAACACAGTTGGAAGTTCGGGGACGTTGTTGCTGAGGAAAGACTGCATGAACTCCTTCATGAGGTTCCAGCAGTCCCCTGGAACCACACAGGGACAGTATTCCACCTGAGAGAAACACAAAGAGAGTTAACATGATCACAGTGAYGACACGTCCCCAAACACTAAACCTCGTATGAACACACCTCCACTGAGATCCCTCTGACACTGGAGCTCATCGCGACCGTGCCGACTTTGATCAGGAAGTCACAGTAGCGATACCTCGAACCCCGACATTCCACCTTGTGTCCCTTGGCGTTCTGGAAATGACTCTTCAGCTTCACCATGAGGACGTCAAAGTTTGCGTCCGCAGTCAGACAGGGTCCTCCTTCGAACAGAGCCATGCAGCTGAGCGGGAACTCTGAGTTGTGCATCACATACAAGAGCTTGGAGGACTGACCTGTAAAACACAATGCAACACTCAGAAAGAGACTTACAGAGGCAGAAAATATGATAAAGTAATACTAATTCATATAAAGTTTGCAAATTAAAGCCTGGTTAAGACCGAGACAAATATAT